CGACGAATGCAAGTAATGAGGTCCGTAGCCGTAATCGACCCAAACGACAGGCGTGTACACGTATGGAAAATTGCGACCCGAAACGCCGTAGCCAGTCACGCCGGGATAGCCGCTGCCGTACCACCTGTACAAGCGTTAGGCTGACTTGCAAGCAGATCAGTGAAGTCTGGGAAGGTGCTTACGACGTGCCATAGATTTGGCTGCGTGTGGCGCCGCCGTACGTCCGTCCCGCAAAAGGCTGACCTTGGGGGATCGTGGTTATCTTTACGCCCCCGGAACCATATGCCGTAGAGGTCGTCTTGCCACTCCCGAATGTGGTCCCAGACACGGGCACGGAAGAACCACGGCTGCCCACCGGATGCGAGGACTTGGATGAACCTGAGCCACTGCTGCCCGTGGTCGATCCTTTGTTGCTACTTGATGTCGAACCCTTGTTGCCACTTGACGTCGAGCCCTTGGAGCTAGACGTTGAGCCCTTGCTGCTGTGGGTGCCCCCAACGTGCCCCCCGCCACTGTGTCCTCCGCCATGTCCTCCACCACCCTTCGGTTCGGGGACCGGACTACGAGGGTGCAGAATGTGATCCCAAGTCTCATAACAGGACTCTGCACATGGCGAAAGGATGGGGAGGTGCATCTGCTGAGCCTGAGTGGGATGTCAGTCAAGGGATGGGATTATCGATGTTGTAGATTTACAGCTTTTATGGCGCGCGAGCAGTGGCTGTGTGACATTTAGAGGCAAGGACCAACTAACGGCCGCCCAGTGCGACATCGCTAAAGATAAATGATGGTTGTGGCGCCGACATATAGGTGGCTGCACCGGTATTTACCGCTCTTGTGAGTATGTAACGTGCATCAGCAAAACAAGCAAACTATGGTCTCGCATGGCCACGGCGCCCGAAACTGGCCTACCCCTTCCGGAAACCGCAAGCGCCGCCCAATGCTGGCCAACTCCCATCTCGCCTGACGGAATCTGGCCATTGAGCATCTGCGCGGATGGATCCCGGCATTGGTAGTCAGGTATGTATCTTGTACTATCACTTCATACCAGTTAATTTGTCAGTGTACAAAGTGTGGATGAATTGACACCATGCAAGGCACTCCGCTGCACCGCAGCCGCCTCCTCAGGCTCTGAGTGCTCTCCGCCTCTGCCCTCTCCGCCTCCGTCCTCTCCGCATCCTCATCTGCACTGCTCAGCGAGCTTTGTATCTGCGCCTCCTCCTGCTCACACAGTGCGACTTCACGCCGCTTCTTCACCGCCGCAGTCATGAGCGGCACGGAGGAAAGGAGGACACAGGGGCACACTGCGCTTCGTTTCACCAGGGGCATTGAACTATAGGACAACGTCTCCTATCCTAGAGGCATCGTGACCTAGGTCGCATTGAGACCACCATGCCTCCGCATCCCACCTTTATCTCACACCAGCCGCAACCTGCACAACGAATGGGATCAGCATATAACGTGATTCCACCAAACGTCCAAAGGGGATTACGATGGGACGCACAACCAGGTAATGATCCCGCAGTGGCTCTGATTACGGTGGAATTGCGATGGGACACAGGCACAGGTCGATACCCCCAGACTCTGATTGACCCCGACGTTGAAAGCGCCGAGGTGTCACCTGACAGCGTCTGCTCCAACTGGTGACGTTCCCTTCACGATCCTCATCCTGTCTTCTTTCTACGTGTATTCCACAGAAATCTGGCTCAAGCTTGCTCGTCAATGATGTGTGTTCTAGGCTTGCTCCTCAATGACGGCCTGTCAACTTGCCAGTCCTGCCCTGAACCATCGCTCCCAAAACCCTCCGCCTCTCGGCGCCGTGGCCACGTATCCCTCCTCTGCTCTCAACCACCGTTCGCCATCCGCGACAACATTCCCATTCACCCCGTTCTACCTCATGTGCCCCGGGTTCCTGATGTCATAGAGTCGCCCCGAGAAGGTTGTAGCTACTCATGTATAGGCTCCATCCTCCAGGCCATGTGGCCCTCTGCCGCGTCTCGGAAGCAGGTATGTATGATGTGCATAATAGCCCTTTCTTGCTCTTGCCCTTTCAGTGAGCCGTATTCCCTCGCTTACCTTTCATATTACCGGGCGCACAGCTAACGAGTCTATAGGTGCTTTGACTGATTTAACGAGGACGTCGAGGCGTATATAGTGTATGTTTGTTCTGGTACTTACCATTGTCTCTCAGGATCACCAGCAGTTGCTAAGTCAACGATTAGCTCTACTAACCCTAACCCTGTCTGAGTTTGCGCACAGTAGCGTGTGTACTTCTTCCATGTATAGTAGTTTGCGTCCAATTATTATCGATCTTTGCAAACACAAACTCGCGAATCGTCTGATAATATGATAAATGACAGTTTCGTAGCGTCAGCTTGGGCATCCATGGTAAGGATTGCACCAAACGCTGACCATCTATGTTCATTAACCCAGTCAATAACGTACAATATTGGCCGGAGTTCTGCTGCAGTACGGTAATCGAAGACCGTACACTCAGCCAGAAGTGACGATCAGTGTCCAGGCGCTAGGTCCGGCCATTGCAGATCATACCTGGCGATTCCCGACCAGTTTTCGCCATCCCTTTGCCATATCTTGCTAATTGTGGTCGGTAAGATGGAACCTGGACATGACTGACCATTTGTTTCGCTTTTTTGCTGATGTGTGTCACTGATCGCTATGGCATCCGTCCGACAAATGACATTCGGATGGCAACTATGTTCATATTATTATAAGTACAAAAGGGAGTCCCACAGACCACGGACGCCGTGGACGGCGTAGCAGTTACCTGGATGTCGGCCTATCTCGCTGTTGAACAATGAAAAGTTGGTCAGACCGGGGATTGAACCCGGGTCATCCCATATGCGCTGGGAGGTGTTACCACTACACCATCCAACCGATACTAGAGTGTGAATTCTACAGATTCCAACACTCCCCCTGAAGTCACACTCTGGTGATCAATCA